CTCCTGCAGTCAACATGTGTTCCACAATCCCCGTACCGGAAGTACCCTCAACAGTACAATACACTATAAACCAAATGCTTGGTCATAAGATCCGGAATGCAAACACTAAACATACATTTTATAACGAATTTTTTTGCGTTTATTATCAATATTCAAACTACACAGTGCAGTTCTACTCACCAAAACATTGGTCAGATGTCTGTTTACATGTCACACAATGCGAAGAACAGTTGGTATTACACATGTCACCTTTTTTACCAGGAATGCATCCTGAAAAGAAATATAATAAAACAAATTGAGAGGAAGGGGCTCAAATAACATTTTTTTTAGTTTATCTTTAACACAAAAACAATAACTACACGGTGAGATTACTGTATAATATACCAAAACATTGTCAGATGTCTGTTTACATGAAGACATAACCCACTCCGTCCCCCTTTTTCCAATCCCCTTTGCCCGTGAACTTATGGGTTTGGGGTTTATGAAATATCTTTTAGGCGATTTTTAACCGGATACCGTGGCTCCCAGATCCGCACATAGTGTTGACAACTTGTATATATACATTTGAATGATGTATCTATAAAACACATACATATGTATATCCCCCTTTGTTCGTAAATTGTATCTTTCTTTGAACTCATATACAATTTACCCATATATTTTACATACACACATATATAATACCTCATTCCCTATAAATGAATTCGACCCTAATGCAGTTCAATGTTTTCTACGTACTTATATATGTATATTGATCATACCAGAACAATACCCTGTGTCCTTTTCACAAATATTGTCTTTACAATTCGTCGGGCAATCGTTGTTACAGTAATAACCATACTTTCCAGAAAAAACAATATGAATGAAAAAGAAATGTTAAAATTACTACAGCCTTATATACAATATATCAGATATATACTGAACAAAAAAAGAACGCACAAATAAATTATGCAATCAATAGCCTATGATATTTTGGGAAATTTGTACAAAATTTTATATCAATATGAAGGGAAAGGTGTACTCTTTACAATACTGTAGAAGAAAAGTCTGTGTGACGTCACTC